TAAATCCCGATGATGGGTCGGCGGCGATCTGCAGGTCGTTTGCTGAATTTTGGTGGACCCACTAATCTACTCCTTGAGAACGCCCTAAATCGGTTTTACCGTTTTTGGCTAACAGATCGACTACAATAACAGGAGTGAACACTTAATTGCGTCATAATCAATACCATTGTGTAATAATTACATAAATATTATATTTCATACACATAAGCGAGTCGACCATTTCGAAACAAAAAAGCGATAATATTTAATGAACCAAATCTACCATATCGATATTACAAATTGCTATCGCTGCTGTACTATTGTCATTATTATGCCATCTTTGGTATCAATCTTAATCTGATCTATCTGATGGTTACACGATTTAAAACTATATAACCAGGATATCGAATTTTTGAAAATAAAATATAATTGTAGTAGGGCATTAAGATTGAAAGAATAGAAGTACTTTTAAAAAAAGTAATGTTAATACAGATCATTGGAATACAAGACTGATTAAGATAATACGTTCATACATATCTCAATTCGAAGGTCACTAATTTGTGCTTTTTTTGCGATATCGATCTATTGAAATTTGATCAAAATATTAGTGAACAAAACAAGGCTATTTCAACAAAAGATCTTTTCATCCAAGCATCATGAAGCTTTGTTTACAAAGCAGTTAATGAATTTACCAATCTTACCGACTATCAAGAAAACAAGTTATGATGCGTTTATTCCGCAGACACCATCGTTGTTTATGCTTAATGTGACCAAGAGAAGAATGACTTCTTTAGGAAAAACTCAAGGTAAAATGTCTATTGATTTTTGTATACTTGTCTAAATTATAATTTATGATGATTTTTACGAATTTTGTTTAGGAAAATTGGTTATTCTTGGTGAGATACTTAATCTTATTCGGAAACTTTAGTGTTTAAATTCTAGTTTCTTTCTCAATCATCTGTATTTAATCAATAATATAGGATCAGGATGGGCAGGTATGAACAATTAATTTATGAGTAACCGATCTGCTAGATCTATACATGAATGTCTAAATCACTTCTCTTAATAAATGATTATATTTCAGTAATTTGTCAGGTAATAAGTCTGTTGAAACCAGTTTTTATTAGTAGAAAAATTAATTTTCATAGTTTCTGAAATGATTAGTGAAATTATATGAATTCCTTACATCAAAATCAGAGTTGTTAAATAGACCAATTTGACCAATTTGACCAATTTTTAGCTATTATTAAAAATTTTTTTATTTAAAGATTAATATTATTTAAACTTAATTTTAATAAATTATTATAAAAATTATAAAATAAAATTTAACTAAAAATAAAATTTAATAACAATTAAAAAATTTTTAATAATAGTTAAAAAATTGGTCAAATTGGTCAAATTGGTCAATTTAACAACTCTGATCAAAATATATTAAATAGTATAGTAATTTGTTTTTTGTGTGATCCATAAAAAGTTCAGGAATGACGAAATACTTTTTTAAATAAAAATAATTTAGACATTCATGTAGAGGCTAAATCACATTAATTTAATTATAGTTAAACCTTAAATGTTTCCAATTACAGGATTTAAACTACTTAAGGACATAGACACAAAACATTATGAAGTAATGGTTATATCACCCAGGTGCGTATTATCGCTGCTTACGTCATGCGTAAATAAAGTTTCTTATTAGACATTACACACTCATCGATTTACCTTATTTTCACTTTATAGGAACTATTTCGTTTTGTAGGTTGTTTAATTTTTTATGGAACCTTATGCGATACATATCTTCATTTTTATATGACTGACTTTTTATGGCAAATATATAAGCACTCCTTTACTTGCTTCATCATCTGTAGGTACTTTAGAATTCAGGTGTGTTGTAGAACCTGTCAGAAGATATTCGCCAAAGATTCAGTATTATCAAGCTTACGCAGATTCAGTAGGTAAGTTATTACCAGTTAGTTATATTTATGATTGAGAATATTTCTAAATGATTTTAATCTTATATAAATTCGTTAATAAAGATCTTGAAAAAAAAATCATTCATTGTACTTCTAACTTGGACCGTAAGAAAGATAAATTCGATATCCAATATGATACATTGGTTGTTGCAGTTGGAGCAAACTCCAATACTTTTTGTATTCCGGGAGTTGGTGATTATGCATTATTTTTAAAGGATATCTCTGATGCCCGTAAAATACGTCAAAGGGTCATTGAATGCTTCGAGCATGCAAGTCAACCCAATGTGACAAAAGAAGAGGCAGCCGGTCTATTACATTTTGCGGTTGTTGGTGGAGGTCCTACCGTAGGTATATTGATCATATTATTAATAGAGTTTGTAGTTCAATATCATTAACCCTTTTTACATTCCAATTACATTATATAGGGTGTTGAATTTAGTGCAGAGCTGTGAGTTTAAATCCATGATTTTTCATGATGTAACATTCAAATAACAATAATTAATTATCGACGATATCAATTGTGTATCATATTCAGTCATGATTTCATAACAGAAGATATGGCTCGTTTATATCCGAATTTGATCAATTCTGTCACAATGACTGTATATGATGTTGCACCTCAAATTCTTGGGTCATTTGACCAGAGTCTCAGGGATTATGCTATCAAGAAATTTACGCGTAAAGGTATCCATATACGTACAGGTGCACGGGTAGAAACAGTGAAAGAACGTCACTTGATTATAAATGATATTGGGGAAGTACCATATGGCATGTTGGTATGGGCAACAGGTATGTAAATTTAGTCCATGACATTATTTTATAATTGTGTCACTCGTATGTGCATTCGGGAGGTATTTAATCTAATAATTTTGTAGGTTTAACGGATAATCCGCTGACACGAGCTATGGGTGAACACATAATGCAGGATCAATCAGCGAAAAGGTATGTCGTCAAGTTTGCTCTTTATTGCATAGTTTAATTATTTTTAACATATTGGGGGGTTTTTTGTAGGTTATTGACAGATCATTATTTACGCGTTCTAAGTAAAGATAATGGCATGCCCATAAATAATGTGTAGGTGTTCATATATATATTTAGTTATTGTGAAGTGTTTAAAATATATAATATTGTAAAAATATTTGTTAATAAGGTATGCTATTGGTGATTGCGC